ATATGTATCTGTGGTACTTTTCGTAGAGAGTGATAGATGTAGGTATCTTTCATCGCTGGATAGTTCTGGATTATTCTTCCGCTCTCACAAATTTAATAGAAATTTATGTAGGCAAGTCGCAGTTAATGGTGTTCTATTAATTTAATTTGAAGATGCGCTCTGATTGCACTTGACGAGATGACATATAAGATCATATATACATATGTATGTATGTATATAAATCAACGTCATAGCATAATTTGCATAATATGCGTTTTGTATGTGTTTATTTAGTTTTGTCAGTTTCATGAACATTTGATTTTTGCGTTGCAATTAATGTCGCGAAACAGTCACTTGTGGCTGGAATGCACACCTCCTTGTCTGACCTTCACTAACTTGTTTGCGTCCTGGTGTTTAAAAAAGACAATGGAATCTGCATATGTACAAACACGCATACATACATATGTATGAATCTTCTTCTTCTCTGCCGGTTTAAGCGATTGGCCGAGTTAAATAAAGTATGCCAGCATTTTCTCTTCTGTGCCAGCCTTTTCTCTTCTGTGCCAGCCTTTGCTCTTGCTAGTTGAAGATGCCAAGTGAAGCCAAGTCTATGTCCACCTGATCTTTCCATCGCATAGCAGGCCTTCCTATTCCTCTGCTACCACCAGTGGGTACCATATTGAAAACTTTCAGGGCTTGAGCGCATGCGCTTTCTGTTTGCTTGAAGGCAGGATATACTTAGTCTTGCCCTCACTCCCCTACAGACCTATTCGCTTTATTTCCATATTCAACTTGGAAAAGGCAGAACAAATTTGGCCGTTTATGTCGATGACATCGATATCATCGGTATCAAAAACCGCGAAGTCTGTTCTGCCTTTTCCAAGTTGGATAAGGAAGCAAACCGAATTGGTCTGGTGGTAAACGAGGACAAGACGAAGTATCTCCTGTCCTCTCCTATCAAACAAACACTCAGCACATTCGCGCCTTTTCACCCAAGACACTGTTGACACTTATAATTTCGGGAAAGTAGAGAATTTCCTTTATTTGGGAACCAGCATTAACACCGATAATAATGTTAGCAAGGAAATCCAACGCAGAATCACTCTTGCCAACAAGTGCTACTTTGGACTGAGTAGGCAATTTAGGAGTGAAGTCGTCACTCGACGTATGAAAACCACACTCTATAAGTCTCTCATCATGCCTGTGCTGGTATATGGCGCAGAAACATGGACAACGACAACAACCGATGAGGCGGCTCTTGGAGTATTCGAGAGAAAGAAGGTCTTTACGCGTTGGCGACGGCAAGTACCGCAGACGATGGAACGATGAGCTTTGTGAGCCTTACAACGACATGGACATGGTGTAACGAATTAAAATACAGCCTCTCCGATGGCTTGGCCATGTCGTTCGAATGGACACCAGCTCTGAAAGCATTCAACTGGGAACCCGCTGGTTGTAGCTGTGGAAGAGGGAAGCCTCCACTGCGATGGAAAGACCAGGCGGAGAAGGCTTCACTTGGCATTTACAATTGGCGTCAGTTGGCACGGAAAAGGAACGACTGGCGTGCTTTGTTGAACTCAGCCAAAATCGCTTAGGTGGTTACAGAGCCAAATAAGAATAAGAAGAAGTAACTGATTCTGTGGCATTCGGCGCATATGGCGGGTTCGTCTTTTTTTGTGAATAGGCTAGAGGATGTTGATCAGCAGGTCGCCAAAGTTTTTCTTAGAGGAATTCGCCCTTATTATTGCAATGTTCCGCAAGACTCCTTGCAAATGTTTATAAAGCTGTGTTCCGTTAATCCTGAGCAGTGGCAGAGAAAGATTTCAACGTGTTCGATTTCCTCTTCGACCCTTCAGTTTCGACAGAAGTCGTTTTGTGGATAGCCCATGCTACCTTCATGTGTTTCCATTAGGCAAGGAATGGTGGCGACTCCAACAACTACCATGAGTATAGGGCGTTTTAGAAGAATGAGTGCGTTGCACCTACTTTGTCGCATCAGGGCCAAAACTGACGATTGTAAGAAATGTGATTCGAGTTGAACATTTGTAAACACATTTGAGGAGTTTGTTGGTATTTGTTGGCTTCCAGCGGGTTCGGTTTCCAATTTCGTAAGCGGCAATACATAATTGTTTATATTTTTTTCTGTGTTTGGTTTTTCTTAATTACGAAAAAGCATCTGTAAATTGCAGAACTAAATCAAACGACGAAAATAATTGCTTTTAGTTCAATATTTGAAGACACATTTATAAAGCGGTTGTAGCTGAGTAGCTTTCAGAATATGCGGATTCAAATCCCCTCAGAGGAATTATGAAAAAGCATCTGTGAAGTGCCGAATAAAGGCGTATTCAAAAGAAAAACCGGTAACCAAAAATTTTGGTTAATGTAAACAAAAACGGGGTTAATATTACCAAATCATTGTTGAAAATATTAACCAAGGCATTGTTAATACATAAATATTAACTAAAAAAATCACGTTGATTCCTTTTCAAGTTTGAATTTGGTAATATGTATTAACCAATTTTTGGTTGATTTTTTTTCTCAGTGTATGTTTGCCAGTTCGATGAAGTAGGCTTTTGCTGTACAGGGCCAGCTCATTTGCCTCAAAATTACCTTTTATATCTCTGTGTCATCCTGCTGATGCACTTGGATGCCAGCTCGGCTCTTTTCAGCTCTTCGCGCTAACGGATTTCGGTATCTCTCTTTTTATTACGGGAGTGCAAGAATTGTACCGGTAATTTTTTTAAATTTCTTTTTGGGTTTTACACCATCCGGTTAAAGATTATGATTCTCTAGAGAATTTTATTGTTGTAAAATTGAAAAAAATATATAATCCCATAACCCATACTATATATTTTTAAGCGACTTCAAAAAAGGAGGCGGCTATCAATACGTCGGAATATTTTTTTATATATGTTGCCGCATAACTTTGGACCACGTTAACCGATTTCTATCATTATTTTTTTTAAGGTATCATTGGATCATAATGAAATTAACGGTAATCTTAAATTTTTATATGGGAATTTATTATAGTTTTTTGCTTAAAAATTACTTGTTTTATATTTCTTTGATCGCGAATATTGTCAAATTCTCTGAAATTAGGTTACTGGCAAGTTACTGGATAACTTTTTACTAGAGATTACATGAACGGAACTAATATCAAATTCAGAGAAGTCCTTAACCAAGGAAACTTACGTACATATGTACATAAATATGTATTTATTATATGTATTTATTTTCTAAGAATTTTTTGTAATAAAAACGATAACAAACAACGTTCACGCTATCGCACTAACATACATATGTATGTTTGTACTTGCATACGTATATATGTGAGAGTATTGCATTTAATCACATAGCTATTTACTTGCAAGCAGTCTAGAATATTTAACCATTTTACAGGCCATTGTTGCAATTCGAAGTAAATTGTTATTGTGCAGTATTTTTCCTTCAATGCACTGGAATATTTTGCAAATTGTCAAACAACTTTAATGTAACATGCATTCATACATATGTATATATGTATATAGCTAGTAATGCGAAAAGAAATCCAAAACAAAGAAGTATTTTTTAGAAAAAGTTTCCACCAGCTGAGTTGAGCAGAACAAAATTGATTTGTTTAAAATGTCCATGCACTCTACTGTCGGCAATTGGAGATTGGAAATTGCCTAATAGCAGTACATATTTATGTGTAGGTATGTGTACATGTCCGTTCCTGCAAAAAATGCGATTAATCCGGGATGACTCCGGGAGCAATCGCAAAGGAACTTGCGACTAATACCACTTTTGATCTCTTTATATGGAAGAAACTGTTCGTTTTTGTTCGAGTATGTCCTATGAAGAGTCTAATTGTTCCCCTTTATTCCCGAATGGGTATAAAAAGCGACTAGTTACTTTTAAAAAATAAAATAAAAATTTTCGTTGGCTGCGATGCGAAACGGGGTTCCCCGTTTTGTTAAGCGAATACTCTCTCTCGTTAGAGATGAGTCGGGGACTTTTTGCAGGCAATTCATCCTCAAAAAGCTTCTAAAGCGTGCTTGGTTGGCCATGAGTTCACTTATTTTCCTCAGATTGCTAAATAAAATGTTTTACATATACATATATGTACGGTGACCAGATTTCTGTGGTCAAAAAATCGGTACATTTCTAAAGCATTGAATCCGGACAAACAATTTTGTTTTTAGAAGGAAAAGACACAACATATTTTAATACAGTTTTATTTAAAACAAAACAAGGAGAAAAATCTTGAAAAATGATCGCAAACATATGTACACATAAGATATACGGTGGCGAGAATATAAATAGGGAATAAACATTTTTGCAAGTTTTTACTACTTTTCTTTGATTAAAAAATCTTTCTTATTTTTTATGAAAATATAACTTACTATCTAAAAACACATCTAAATCAAAATTTCAAACTGAGGAACATTTATAAAAATTCGACGAATTTTAACAAATGTTGATCAAAATTTTAAACATTTTAATCAGATTTTCTAAAATTGTTTTGAGTATGCAGTTTTGTAGTCCAGTAAATGTTAGTACATACATGTAATAAAGTGCAAGTTTGAAGTAGCTTGGACTTACTGTTGATTTACTGTAATTTTTTGATCGCGCATTTTTTTGTATGAAGAAAATGAGCAACGCCTTCCCCAAAAAAAATTTACCAAAATTAACGGTACACATAATTTTTCTAAGAAATATAATTAAAAAGCTGAATAAAAAATTTTTATGAAACTCTGTCCAATTTCACTAATTTTTGTACAAGTTTTGAAATTTTGACATACATGGTCTTTGTTAGATAACGACCTACACATTCATAAAAAATAAAATATAAAACACTAAATAATCGAAAGTGGAATAGCCAAAGAAAGCTAAAATGTCTTATATTTTTCATATACATGATTTTTTCGGGGGATATGTATTGTTTTTACAATTTCATCGAATTCCAGTTAGAATCGTTTCATTAAAAAAACTTAACAATTAATTATAAAATCTTAAAAAAAATTATATTCAGCGGGGCAATGTTTTCAAAATCGGTACTGCCCCGCCAAAATCGGTGTGAATGTAATTTAAAATTATTTCGAAAGCCGTGCGAAGTTTACTTAGTACCTTAGTACTAATCGGAGAAATGGGCAATCCGATGCCCAGCTCTGTCATAGGTGAGTTCATCTCATCTGCTGTAACTGTGGCTGTGAGGTTGGCATCGTCTTTTACAAAACTATCTGCCATTTCGTTTAACACAATTTGTATCGTTTCTGTTTACTCATTTGATCTGATGCATTCCTAGTTATCTCTGAAACAGGGTTTGTAGTAATTACCATTTGACATTGGAGGTTATTTTTTTCGAGTACCCACATACAAACAGTGCTCTTGCTAACCTTGCATTTATCTAGAAATCACTTCCAAATTTTGGCAATTAATTCAATTAACTTTAATGTGTAGCTTTGTTCAAAAGAAAGCAATAGCAACCATGCCAAACTTTCACACCGAATCATAACTATTAGCACAGTCGCGCATTGGATGGAGTAAAAGGGATGCCCTATTTTTAACGGCGAGAAACAAATTTAAAAAATATATAAATGCTACTTAATCGCATCACTGACGCTGTGCTTTTGTTATGTATGGGTTCAAAATTGTATGTCACTCCAAATTAAAGGAGCAAGGATTACAAATATAAAAGAAAGCAACTGGAAATAACTCGAATGGGGATACCTACTAAATATTACTTTCTAAAAACTCCTTCTATTAAGATGAAGTCGGTAATATTGATATTATTTAATGTTTTTCACACTCCTTAAAGATGCGAAGGACAGTGGATTGAAGGGATATTTTTTATTCCTTCGAATATCAACGATTTTACAATTATAAAGATAATATATCCATATTTTCATAAAAGATCTTCCGTTCGCCATATTTTACAGTTGCCTCTTCCTTTGCGATGTTACGCCAGTGCGTGCCTCTGTACATGGTATATATGCTTGCGCTGTCCATCCATGGGCACCTATGTAGTTGAAGGATCTTTTCACCAGAGCATCATTATCCATACGATACGTTCATGCCAGCGCAATTGTTGTGAATTTGAAGAGTAAAAACCTACGACTTTGAGTACAACCCTAATGCATATACATAGATGATACATATTAGGCCAATTTAAAATTTTCGATTTATTTTACTCAGTAAATATTGGAAATTATATGTCTATTGATCCCATAAAAGCTTACAAAAGTTATTCAACTGAAAACACGAAAGGCAAGGTTTTATTTTCTTAAAGAAGCGGAGAAGGGTCTTCCTGCATACACACTTACATAGATTCGATATTGTAATTATTTACTGGTTGGAAATTTGGTAGAATAGGTAATAGAATGCGATGACCATGACCGCCGGCTTAGTGTTTCTATTTTTAACCGACTTCCAAAAAAAGGAGGAGGTTATCAGTTCGTCGGAGTATATATATATATTTTTTTTATGTATTCGATTTCGAGAATTCTTTTTGCATCGGAAAGGTAGTGTCTCAGAGGTGGTCCCATTCTTAGATCCGATCATTAGATCATAAAAAAATTAACGGCACTCCTAAGTTTTGATATGAGAATTGAAGTCGGTTTTGTTTTTTTTTGGTTAAAAATTACTTGTTCATATTAAATTTTAGATAATAAATAGTAAAAATACATATTTTCACGAATATCTATGAACGTTGTTTATTGAGTGAAAAGCAAATGTTGATTACTTAAAATTGTTTATCAAAACTTTTAAATTTATTTTATTTTAGTTTAATACACATTTTTTTAACAACTGTGCACGCGCCAAGTCCCTGAAATAACTTACGTGGATGGTGACGTTTGTATTTCACATATGTACATACTATGTACATATGTATGTATAATTTTCGAGATAAGTAGGTAGGAAATACGGCTTGAAGAATTCGCATTAAGAAACTCATACAGCATTCGATAAAAAATAATACACAATATGCGTCCTAAATATAACTCTAAACATGCCATTTCTTCGTAGTATTTTGGGACGCATTTTTGGAACGTTTAAACGCGGCTTTCTAATTGCAGGGCATACTCAAAAATTATGAGAGAACTTCCTCCTCATTTCTTCTTGATTGGCGCTATAACCGTTTAAGTGATTTCGGCTGCTTTCCCCCCTTTCTCTGATTGGCGCCAATTAGAAGCACCAATGGCCCTATTGTGTATGGCGACTAACAGTCGATGGGCAACCATATACTAAAATTCGCATTACGTTAACTCAACTTACTAACTCAAAAATTACTGGATAGATTTCAGTCAAATTTTCAGAGATTATACCCTGCATATATGGCCCTATTATAGGCTACTAGAAAACTCGCTACATGGCGCTGGAGTCGAGTTATTTATAAAAGTCATATTTATGAACCGATTTCGTTCAAATTCAAAAGGTAATCTACCAGCATGATAAAAAATACGTTTGCCACTAGGTGGCGCTGGAGTCGGTTTATTTATAAAAATCGTATTTGTGAACCGATTTCTTTCAAATTCAAAAGGTATAGTTGCAGCATGATGGAAAATACGTTTACCAAAAACTGAGCCGCTAGGTAGTGCGGAAGACGATTTATTTATAAAAGTTGTATATATGGAGCGATTTTGTAAGCTACCTGCATGATTCGAAACGTTTATTACTTTCATGATGTTTTTTTTTCATTCGAAACATATTACTTACATACAATGATAGCCATTTCCGTTTTTCGGACTAAACTCAAAAACCACTCAATAGAGCCCAGTCAAATTGTCGGAGGTTATACCTTGCATATATGGTCCTATGCTGGAGTAGAGTTACTTATAAAAGTCGTATTTATTAACCGATTTCTGATGAAAAATTCCTGGAGTTTCGGTATTTACAAAATCCGTATTTTTTATAAAATCCGATTGGAATTCATAATGCGTATACATTTCATGACAAGCAAAGGTTTTGCCGAAAATGGACCCAATGGATGACGCTGCAGGCGAAATATATAGAAATCCCCACGGGGTTTGTTCTGCTTAGACCCTATGTTTATCTCAGACGAATTTACTTTTCAGATGGCTAAATCAAGGATGCGTTTAAATATGCATATAAAGACCGTTACACTGTGTAAGCGTGATCTTGCATCTACCTCCGATTGACGAAGTTGCTCGAGGCGGCCGTTATTACAGCAGTAAGACTCAAAGAAACCAATTCATTAATATTAAGACGAATTGTAAAAGTGGCCAAAACTTTTCGTAAGCTGTCTAACCTCTTTGCTCTTTGCAGTCACATATTTCCATCTCTACTTCTTGTCTCTTTGTAGAGGAAAGTAAAGTCAAGTACGCTTTTGAAACTGTGGTAGTTTCCGTCGTACGTATGGCGTTATTGACACTTATCGGAAATATATCGGTATTTTCCATTTTGAAACGAAGATACTAAGGAGGAACATAGAAATATTCCGTATATGTTGTTAAGAACTAGGGCAGGGAGTTCTATAAAAAAGGTATCGGGATAGCAAAATTAACGGATATACAGGCATATTATGCAATTCACTTCCGAGTGAATTTCAACAAAAATCACTTTGAATCCATAATTTGGAGTTTGTGTTTCACTTTCCGAGTTTTATATTCAGGTTCTGGAATCCGAAAAAAAGTCGAATTAAAGGTGAGTTTTGTTGAATTTCACGCGGAAGTGAATTGCAGAACCTGCCTGATAAACCTGTAGTTAATCATCCCCCCTCTAGCTGTCGCAATCCTCCGCTTCGACATTCGTTTTTTGAATTGGGTTTAAAATAGTGGAGGGGCGAGCAAAGAGCATCGAGCCAAGCGGCGATTTTAAACGCATATGTTTTAATGGGAGAGCACATAGTGAAGAGCAAAGCGTATATCTATTCTCGTTTGTAATTGAAGCTTTGCTCGATGCTAGCTCTTCGCTTGGCTCGCCGCTCCACTAAAATAAATAAACATTAAACTAAAGTAAATAAAAACATTAACGCCAGATTTTAACACGTTTTCAATACTTCTTCATTTCTGAAGGATAAGAGGAACCAATTTTTTTGGTAGATTTTGTCAATGGTTGCCTCATAACGCCAATGAAAATCTCAAATTTCGACGAACGACTGTCGTTCCGACATTCGGAATAGGAGCGAATAGCTTCGCTTCGTCGTATCGATATTAACGAATATACATCCTTTTTTGGGAACAAAATTTGTGTTTAAAGGGTAGATAACACGTTCTAAAATTCTCACTTGCTTTGCTTTTGGGCTGTCGTACCTATTTTTTTTTTTTTTGTTTTTGAAAAATACATCACCCCAGTAGATAATTTCAGGAGTTAAAAGTCCTTCTGAAAGGCCTTCCTGAGGGTCAAGAGGCATTCCACTCTATATTCCTTTCTCCTTTCTTTTTTGTATGGGGTGGCACAAATTGAAGGGCTTATTCTTTCGCTACCCATGGAAGTCCTTCGGAAAGGGCTTTTATAGGACATACTTCAGAAGGCCGTTTGGAGGAGTTATTTTAAAGTTGCTTCTTTAATTTATAAAAATCATACATCTTTGAAGTATTTGCTTAAAAGTTTATATCAAATATGTGTAATTGGAACTTAAGCTGTTTATTGAAATTCATTTGTAATGCTAAATAACATAAATTTATGCATTCGCGTAGAAATCACTTTTTGCAGCCCTTCTTGGGTAGCTAAGAGGCTCTGCTTAAGAAGGCCTACCTAAATTATCTTCTGGGATAACTTATATAAATACACTTCCGGTTTCTGAAGTTCACGGTCGGCTCAAGCGGACTTATAGTTATGAATATATATATATAACGCAAAAGCGGATAAATAAGTTACTAAAAAAAACACAAACTCGATTTTCTGCATACTTTTACACAAATCCTTTAAGCGATAAAATACAATAAACCATGCATTTTATTTGGTATAGCTTTTTTACATACATATACTGTTATTGCAAATAATTGCATAATTATTTTGATGTTTAAAACATGAGATAAAATAAAACAGAAAGCGATTACAATATGCTACAACAAGGAATAAAAATGTGATTTAACATAAAATTTTATAGTGCTATATAATATACCAATTATAATACAGATGTGGTTTAGTTAACTAATTAAAGTTAACTGTTTTCACAATTGACAAAGATTTTAAATCATTCATACAATAATTATGTTCGATTGAAACAGCACTCGTAAGAAGCGAATTACCTAAGAACTGATGTGATATTAAAAAATAGTGTATTTTAATTATCGAGGAATTCCCATTCACTGGAACTACCATTAGATTCCGCCGAGGGTGGCGGAGTTTTTTGATGTACCCTTGGAGAACATGGATCGCATGCTCGACGAAAATCTGGTAAAAAACTGTTTATTTCCTCGTTAACTGGTTGTGTGGGAATGAATTTTAATTGTACTGCTGGGGTGGTGCGCGCTGGCAGTTTTGACGTTGTGCCGCTTTCGTTATCTTTGTCGTA